AACCCATCTTTACTCCTCCTCACTATAAGATTCATTTGGATAAATAAGAAGACCAAGATGTAGCACGTGCTTGAGAAATAACACCTGGAGTAAGAAGTACATTGGGGCTGGAACCAAATGAAATCGGTCAACCAGAGATAAAAAAAGGAACTACGGGCCCATGAGGCAGATCAGGACAGGTCCGGGCCGGATCAGCAAACAGCAAATGTGATGATGCCACGGTAAACTCGCTACAAGGGCGCACCTCTTGGGGAGTGGAATATAGACAAATCAGAGGTTGGCATAGAGCGGTAGTGGGATAAGAGGGTAAGGAGTAGAAAGATGGGTCAGTACAGGAGTGACGGCACAATCGTTTCGGCATAAAGTTGGTTAAAGGATTGAATTCACTTGACTCTGAGGAGTCGTAGTTTGCTGCTGAGAATGGCAAGGGGGAGTGATGCCTGTGAATCGTCTGAGAATGTACCAACCGGAAGCCAACCTATGCATCGGACAAGTCTCTTAAGCAGGAAGAACTCTAAACTCAGGACTAGCTTGTGGTTACTGCCGTTCGCTGTTGCCCACCGCTGGTTTATGGTACATTCACGCTTCATCGTCTTTCGTTTCGACTCAAAATCCGTCGGTAGAAAGTCCGGGTGCTCGTCTTATCTACAGTCTAGAGCTTTTTACCCTAACAGCATCGCAATCGTCAGCCCAGCAACCATCTTCCTGGATGTAAAAAAACACATGAACCTTTACGTGCCTCTTCTGCATCCGCTAAGGCACTGGCCAGTTGGAGTATGAGGACCACGTTCAGACAGTGCATACATGCGTCAGTGGCGTTAGGTTTGCATTCACGCGACAACCATCGATCCATGGAGGCAATGGGACTTTATCACCGCAGCCGACTTCAAATCAACGTCGACCATCCACATTCAGCCTACGCAGTATCCCATCCACTGGAGTCTTCATGTTGGCTGCACGACTCCAGCAACGATGCCCTTTTTGGTTGCCCCGTTCAAACCCCCTCTTTACCGTCATGCTTATGCTCATCACACCTTCATCATGAGCACGCATAAAACCATTTAGCTTTGTACATCTCTCTACTTGTCTTAAACAACTGCTGTGTCTGAGGAATTCACTACTTTTCAGGCATGGCCTTCAGAATTGTCTGTTTTACAAGGCTCCATCGTCAAAAAACTCTGCTCCTTCCTCATGCATTATCAGAAAACCACTATAACGTGCATGATAACATGTAGTGATATTTTGTTTCTGACATCCCTATCGCTTTGGAGTGAACCCAGTCTTATTGAGACGCCATTGTAATAAAATAGCGACCCTACAGTGTTTTACAAATGAGGCAACCCGGGATGAGCGAAATCGTCATTAAGACATCACGTATTTTCAAGGGTCCTATCGCCAGTATGTAAAAAAATCAGTTTGAAATTGAAAAAACAGAAATAAGCAGAAAAATTCAAATCTAATATGATAAGATGGTACAAGACTACTCTTTTTTTGTATCCTCAAGAGAGCGTAGCTTTTTTTGATCTTCCTGAGGTTTACCTAGGTAGATTAACTTGTCTTTATTCTTCTCAACGTCCCGGAATGCAGGGAAGGTCTCCCAAGGCGTATTATACTCAAACTTTCGGAACTCCTGCGGAAGCTCAAGTGGCTCAATGACAATTCGTTGACACTCTTCATCAAATCGCATCTGTGCGGAAAAAGAAAGATGAGAAATTCATAAATAACGACAAAATATGCTGCAAACTAGTGAAGATATAAGCTAGTCGATAGCCTTGATCAATAGGAATAACTGACGATCCCAAACTATCTTAATTACCGTTAAGTGAAGTTGATCAGAAATCGCAACGAATAAGCACAAAGAAAAATAAAAAAAATAGAATGACCAAGTATTCATATCGATCATTGAAAAAAAGGCAACAAACTCAAATTAAATGTTCGGTTCTTCAAAAAAAGTAGAAGTTCGATAAAGAATGGAACTCTAACCTCAGTATAGCCTGAGAGAGGGAAGTCTTTTCGTTCCGGATGACCGTTGAATCCATAATCATTTAGTATGCGTCGTAAATCGGGGTGATCGGCGAAAAAGACGCCAAACATATCATAAATTTCACGTTCATACCAATTTGAAGCTTGAAAGATGCAACACGACGAATCCACTGGAGTAAGCTCATCGGTGTAAGTACGAACACGGACACGCGAATTGTAACGAAGGGAAAGTAGATTGTAAATTAGCTATACAAGTTGTAAAAACGTTGTCAAATTACTTCAAATCGGTACTTTCTGGATGGGACATCTATGGCAGTAATGTCCGCCAGACTAGCAAACTGGGAATTATGATTATCTTTCAAGAAGGAGAGAACAGGCAATATCCCGTCGGGATGTATACAAATTGATAACTCGTTTACTTGGTTTAATTCAACCAATTGAACATATTTTGGCAGACAATCCGCAATATACTGGCCAAAGTTAGACAGATGCTTGGGGTTCTTCCAGGATTTAGCCTGATCTATAATTACGCATCAGTTGAAATCTTTTTTACCGATAGTTTGAGTTTGGGAAAGATTTCTGATAAAAGGGAGACCTAATCGCAAAAAGCTATTAAATTTATCTGAACAAAGTTATAATATGAAAGAAGGCAGCTACATATTGGAAAACCCAAAAAAGACATGAGAATAGATAAACCCGCCCGAAAGTGAAGAAAAATATGTCACGTGCTCAAGTAAATTTTAAGATAATATTTTCAATTTAAAGAATAAACATTATTAATTGAACGCTTACTTAAGTTTGTGAGGGTAATGATATTCTTAGTGGAGCAGCTTTCATAACTACCATCATATACTCATAGTTGGGGGTTCCTTCAATCTAACTAATTTCAAGTAATTTTTACAGTAATTAGTTGCATATTCGTTCTATCTAGTATAATATTTAAATGTTTCTTAACTATTCAGTGAAAGAGTTAGACATCAATTACAGCCATAAGTAGTTCTCGACTTAGTACCCCCAAGTAATCGAGATCACTTGTACATAGAACTATGCATGGAACCAAAAGCTACCTATGTATCATATACTTGCCATACTTTAAATCGTTTACGTTCATGTCTGACAAGCACTTTCCGCGTATTTCATCTATTTTCTTGGACAGTTGTTCACGTCCATCCTTCCTTGATACTTTAACAATGTATCTCAATTTATCATTCACACTGACTTGCATAATATATGAACTTGGCTAAAGTCAACCTAGCCAGTGACTTTCGTTGCATACATGAGAAATGGTGCTTTATTTTCTTCCATTCTTTTGTGGAGGAATATTTTTCTGATATTTTGCCATTACATCCCCTCCACGGATGTTAGGGGCTCATAAAGCAAACGTG